CCACTCAGTCTGATTCGAGAAGAGACGATTCGCTTCTCAACTTTAAAATTTTGAATTTTCGCATCTCTCTCACATATAATCCATCTCTATTCTTCTTCTCCCCTCCTTCCGATTTAGCACAGATCTTCAGTTTATTCTCAAGTTTCGCTGCTCCGTTTTCCAAGTCCTCGGTGATCTCTCTCCGTCTCAGAATCCGTTGTTAATTTGGAGGCTAGAACTTCGAAGGTCAGTAACTAATCTTGTTCCTATGCCGTTTAGCTTTGCGAACATATGCTTCTGCGTTAATTTGGAGGCTGGAACTCCGAAGGTCAGTAACTAATCTTGTTTGGAGTCTAGAATCCGTCTCAGGTTTTGGCTACTCCATTCTCCTAGTCCTCCGTGGTCTCTCTGTCTCAGAATTCGGTGTTAATTTGGAGGCTAGAACTCCGAAGGTCAGTAACTAATCTTGTTTGGAGGCTAGAATCCATCTCAGGTTTTGGCTGCTCCGTTCTCCTAGTCCTCGGCGATCTCTCCCGTCTCAGAATCCGGTGTTAATTTGGAGGCTGGAACTCCGAAGGTCAGTAACTAATCTTGTTTCTATGCCTTTTAAATTCGCGAACAGAAGCTTCTGCGTTATGTGTGTGTGGCTATATATATCTATGTATGTATGTATGTATGTATTTGATGATTCCTGCTATTTCGAACTCCAGATCATGCTTAAGGACTAATTTCTTCCGTGATGTTAAGAAAACAGGATATAAGAATAGGAAAAGGAAAACAGAATTCTGTTGATTATTTATTTGTGATAATGCCAGTTTGATTTTAATTAGTTAAACAACAAGAAGAAATTCTCTGTACTTTGCTCTGACTATGCGATAAATTAATTTGTGATTTTAAGCCTTCTCTTCTTCTTTTTCCTGTGGATCTGATCATTTTGATGTTAATTGCTTCTAAGAAATACTAGATAAACCAGAAGATTAGCTTTAATAGACAAAATACAGTTATGCAAACAGCTTTTACCCCGAAATCAAGTACAATAATTACAAGCTTTAGATGGAAACAGTGATGCACACGTATCATAATACAGGCTTAGTAGGACACAAACACCTGAAAGTGGCAAACGACTCACAAAGCAGAATTTATGCGGTAGATGCACGACGTGCTCATGCATATGCTTTTCAATACTATACAGTATCTTCTAACAACAAGGCTGAGACTTTTGCTTCCTTGGAGCTTTAACTTTAGGTTCTTCATAAGCCTTCAATGATTAAAAAATTAGAAAGAGAAACAGCATTAGCATTAGATCGACCGTGTGCATATCTTAATGCTATATATGTCTTGCACTTTCTTTATTTTTTGTATCTATGGTGATGGATTTAATCCAATGGGCTTCATGATTCTGATTCTGCTTAAAGTTTCAACTAAATCTAAGAGCCGGTCCAGGGATTAATAAAATGTAGAGGAATGTGAAATATAGGTTAAAATATGCGCTACCTCAGATTATGATATGATATTACTGAATACTAGAAGCAACTGCCAATTTATGTAGATTTATTTATTTATCATGTTGGTTTGAGCTCCAAATAATAGGACCTTGTGCATGTGACCTAAACAAAGAGGATTAGATTTCATGTGGGCCTTTTTTTTTAGGAAGTTGAATAGAGTATGAATAGATTATTAGACAAAGTAGTATAAATTAATAAAACATCCCCTTGAGGAATGGGGATTTGTGTTTCTTTTGAACCGTAGCTACTAGAAAAGGGAAGCAAAGTACATGACATGTTACAGGAAGCTTGGTTTGGCTTTTGGTTCAATATGCAAGTGATCGATCTTTGGAAAGGAATAATAGGGGAGGTCACTGTTTATTCTTTGAAGTTTGAATGATACCCAATGTAGCCAAAAGAATAGAGAAAGCAAAGAGTGGGAGAAGGAAGCCGAGAAAGAAAATTCTTATTATGATATGTTTTGGAGCTTAAGAGCATCTTAGATGTTAGCGTAGGGTGCCCTTATGTTTTTAGCTGCCTATAAACCCTGTGAAGTGTAATTCTTTTGAAGAAGTCTAGTTGTACTCTAGTGAATGCTTTTAGACTTTGGAAGGCCCTTTCTTCCCTTCTGTCAATGAAAGAGCTGTCATAGTTTGAAAGCATTAAGCATTGGAACCCTGCATTTTCTCTAGTATGTGTGGCTACGCTAATTTGCTAAGATTGGATATGACACATGAGAGTAAAAGAAAGTGACAAGAAGAACAATTGTCAAGTATAGAAAAGATGGACATGGAAGAATATTTTGTTGCAATTATGTGAGAGTAATTATCAGTATCCTTCCTCTGCTCCCCATCATTCATCTTCCATAGCTCCCAGTTACCTTGTAGTTGGGTATAGGGATGCGGCCAGATTCTATGGACATGAGATCAGCCACTAGGATCTCATAGTGTCTCTTGACTTCCTCTGGGGATTTCTCACCCACAGCATCAGCAACTTTTTGCCAGCGTTCTGGGGTGTCCTTGTCATATATAGCCAGTGCATTTTCAAATAGCTTGTTTTGCTTTGGAGTCCAGTAGGATTTGGAGTGACGTGAAGAAGTGATAGAACTGGATGCCATTACTTGAGTAAAATGAATGGGAATAAAACAAATATGATAAGGCTTGATGACTTTGGAGTGTGGAATTGAGGATGGAAAAGATGGTTTGGGTGAGAAGTGGAATGTATACCAATCAAACTGAGATTATATTTGGAGACTTCAAAGGGTGAAAAACTATCAAAAAGGTAGGTTAGCATGGGAAAGAAAAGATAGAGATTATTGCCTCAATCAAGGGAGAAGATTGAAATCGAGGGATGGTATGGGAAAGAGCTTGCAATGCCCACTTCTTATAAGGAGGGGGAGCTGGTGGCGTCTTGCAAATTGGCGAGTCTTTATTAGGGTACACTCAGATATGATTTGCTTGTTTAAGCAAGTTTTCCACGGATGAGAAACAAGGGGAATCCAGTGCTAATGGACTCACTCTTTGTAAAGTCCATTTCTTGTCTTTAATAATATCATTAGCACCAAGTGGATTTATTTCAGCATTTATCAGCTGGTGAGCATAGATCCAATACCCAGTCTACCCATAGGCATAGATGCCCTAGCAATGCGACTTTGAAACCCACAAAATATACACTGAGATATTCTGATGCCTTTATAGTGGGAAAGGTTGACTTTCTTCCCTGGCTTTTTTTGAGCAAGTTGTTGAAATAGACCCTTAATTTTTAAGAAAATTTTTACTCTCCTGTTCCTCATAGGAGGAGGTTGAGACTAGAGCTAGTAGATTGCTCTAGGCCAGTAATATCATTAGAAGAGTGCATGGTTCATTTCTTTTGCTGGAAGATTAATAACAAAATAAAAAAACTTCGTTCTCCTTCTACATGATAATGATTCATAAATATTATTGGGATAGTTCTCTTCTTTTTTCCTTTTCTTTCTTTTTATTTTTTTTTTTATTTTTTTTTTCCATTTGGTGATATCGTAAGTTAAATGAGAGTTAGTAGCGTAAATTTTACAACTCGTAGGCAACCAGACTTCCCTGACCTTAGGTTTCACACGTATGTCCTGTTTGGGTGTGTGATGAACGATGATGACTATTCAGAGAAAATCTCACTTATTTTGTTTTTAACTTTTCTCGAGTTGATATGCTAATTTAGTCGTCTGTCATTAATGCTGGAACTAGGAAACGGTGCTCCATAACCTGCCAGTTTCTGTTACAAGATCCCGTGTAAGTTTTTGCGTAGGAATGAGTAATGACTGTTACTCACTGCTTACTGCTATATGAAACCCTTGAATTTCTATATTGCCCTTTGTGCACCGTGCAGTTGCTCTTTCAAAATATTTTACTGCAGCATTTCTTGTTCTAGGTGGCAACAGACATTAGTTCAGGGTGTTTCTTTGATTTGTGCTCTTTTCTTACCCATCAGAGATTTCCTTTTTTTTGCAAACTGATCATTGATGCAGAGAATTTAATTCCCTTTATTTGGTACCAGTAAGTCAGTTACACTGAAGACTAGGCCACTGCAAAATTTCACATCAATTTGAATATTTCATTAGTGCATTTAGGGTGCCAACTTTTGTTTTTAATGGTGCTTGAAAAGAAGCTACAACATGGCCTTATTTAGGATATTAGTAGATGCTTCCATAAGTTGAAACAGTATTGAAGACCACCAGAACATTTGAGCAATGAACAGCAATTGGGTTATGGTGGATATATAAGCAACTTGCTTCTTCCTTGGCTTGAGATACTGCCTGATGCAGCCAGAGGGGTCATGTGCAAGAGATGAAATGACCAGGTAAATGCTTGTCAAATCTCCACAAAATTCTCTTACATCTTTTGACATTCAGAATCCTTGTCATGTCCAGTCGAGCAATGGAAAAGTTATACCAGTGAGTATTTTTTTACTAGCAAGAGCTTGACAAAGTTAATATTTATTAATTTAAAATTAAAATTAGGATTTAAATTCTTGTGTTGTTAAGTAATTAACTTTCTCGATGTGTCAAAAAAAAGTGAGTATTTTTCTTTATATGATTGGAACCGTTAAATTTAGATTTTTATTTTTTTGACAAAGGTAATGATTAGGAAGTTAATATGAATTAGTTGTTAGCTACTGGAATTCTCAGATCGGGTGAACATTTTACTTTTTCAAATGAGCCGCGTGGCTATCAGGCTGCATTTTGGTAGAGTTCATGACGGTAGTAGAGCTTGAAACTCTAACCATCGTCTCACCCAAGTACTAAGGTTTGGGGCAAACCGCTGCACATAAGACCGGTTGGCATAGATTTAGATGGGTAACATGACAGAACATGTTTGTACAAAATGTGTAAGGTCAGAAGTCTGGACCAATGGTCCGTGGTT